ACAGCTATTAAAGCTTAAAACAGCACTAAGACTGTATTTAAAAGCAAACAGGAAAGTACAACACTGTGTCTTTAAGGAAATCATTCAGCCCAGCCTATGTTTGTGCATCATTCTGAGCTTGTGGATGAACTCAAATCATTAGAATTGAGAATATAGTTTCTAAAGGTCAATGTGGGGATGAATGACAAAGGTAGGATGGACTAGATGGGAAGGCGATGAGGTTGAATTAAGAGAAAATTCAACCTGAGCCTTCACCTAAAAATAAAACTGGATTCTGTAATACTCTGGAATGCTTCCAAAACCATCATTTTTCACTGTCATGTGTTTCTCAACTTCCTAATTTGAGCCAGGGTTAAAAAGAGTTAGAAATGCATCTCTCAAATTGTGCAGAACAAGGGGTTTGGGGCTTCAGTCAGTCATGCAGCCAGATTTCAGGCATTTCTCCAAATAAAGCAAAACTCTGGAAGATTCACCATCACTGACAGCTACTGTCCAACCTTGACCCCATGGGGGGAAAAAAGGCTAATTCCTACCATGAAGCATCAGATGCTCCAACGAAAATAATTTTAGACAAAAATAGCTACACTTTGGCAAAGTCAACCATCTATTTTTTGAGAACCAAAGAACAGTGTCTTGGTCCTACCTCCCAAGCATTATCCAAAATACCCCCAAAATCTACTGCAGAAGTTGTCTCCGAGGTGGCAGAGTAGAGGGGCCCCAGCACTTCTTTTTTTTCAACTGGACATTCAAACACTTACAAGAATATAGTTCCCTTAGCCCTCAATTATGCCAAAGGCGAGAGCTAGGCTGTTATTACCCTAGGGAGTTCATTAGGGTTGTTTTATGCTCCCAAACTCAACCTACACTTCATTTTGCCCAGGCTATTTCATAATTGGACAGATGCATAAGGTACTTACAGGATTGTCCTACCAAGTGCTAACTTTCAGTACTATTGGGGCATTGGTGAGTAAGTATTAGTCAACAGTCGAAATATTAGTCTTTAAGAAAAGGGGGCCCTTTCACATTTCCTGCACTGCACCTCCATTTGCTAGGGTCTATATACAATGGCAACCGAAGCTGGCTGCTAACTTGTGGGTCAAAAGGGGATTGTCATCATCAACTTAACACACAGCACTAGTGCTCTTTGGCTACTAAGAGACCGTGACTACACGATCCAGCTGAAACAGCTACGTGTACTTCATGTGTAGGACAGACTGAGAGCAAACAAACAGACACGGACACTTCCTATCTATGTTGGCTAGCAGCAGAAAGGTTCTATAAACTTTCCCTTTTCCTAAATGCCTGGATTATTTCCACATAGGGTTTTAGAATCATAGCTCAAAGAAGAAACCAATGAATTATTCCACTGCCTGGAAACTTTTCCATTCAGTATCTGTAACGTGCAGCAAAAATCCCCTTAAGCCCCAATAATTGCTTTCAAAAATCCAAATGATTGTCCTAAATTGAGTGATGCAAAGTTATTTTTTCTTTTGCTGTTTTATTTTTTCCTTTAAATTTTTCCTTGTTGCTGCACAAATGTTTAGATACTAAAGGCTTTCAAAAGGCAACCTAAGCACCAACTATGGGAGCTGCATTTTAATAGAATAGGATTCTCAGCTTTCAAAGAAATACTGAGTTGTGACTGAAGAGTGAAGAACTCATGGGAAAGGAGATTTATATGCAAATTTTGGATTTATGGAGGGCTGCCACTGTTCACTTCAAAAGTTGGATCATGCAACAGCATCAAAATTACAGTATGACAATCACACATACTCAAAATACTGCACAGATCACAATGAAGTCCTTGCAGATAATAAGTTCGAGCAAAAGTAAGTGATGTCAAAGGGCTGCATGGATTTGGCTTAGCTCACGAGGAAGGGAATTCACTGGCATTGGACTGAACACTACCACCCAGCAGCCAATGAGATGAACATGTGCCGATCCTTCTGTCTATAAAAGGCAACCAAAAGGGATTCTGTCAATACAAATTTTTCCCCCATAATGTAATACAAAGGGTGCTGAGTCTCGGAGCACTTGATGTATAACTTTTTTTTTTTTAACTCCCCTGGTTTTAACAAAAGTTTGTTGTTAAAAATCCTATTAATGGAAGTCTTTTTGAACCAAGTGTGTCAAATAAAGCAAAACATATGCTTGGTCCTTCAAGTTATTCTTCAATTCTGGTCCTTCTAGTGTTACAATCTTATACCAGGTTTTAGAGAAGAATGTTGTATCAATTCTAAAATATTAAAAAGTTAGAATGCTTCTCCTAATTTCTCCTTTTATACCCTCCCTCCCAAGATGGAGGTGGTACGGGGAGACTGTAATTAATTTCTAACTGGATTAAGATTACTTAAATCTTTTCTAAGGGGGTGTTATTTGGACAGTTCAAGTGAAAAGGTAATGGATTTCTTTAAATAAAAAAAAAAAAAATCTTATTTTCATATCCAGAAAAGGGTCACCAGTCTGCACCATGTGTATCTACTGAGAAAAGCTGGCACCAACTCAAACCAGTACAGTTACGTTGGAAGGAGTAAATGCTTGTCCTCACTCCTGGCAAATCACTGATCTAAAACAGCAATAAAGGAGAATGGTAACAGAAACCACCACTCAAGTGATTCTTTCCTTAACAGAGCATCTCATTCCTGCTGACTTCCTGAATTCTTCACTATGAACTTTGAGAAAGAAAGGAACCAACTTCGAAAGAAAACAGAAGCCTGTCCCCACTGTGGGACCTTGCCAGGACATCTGCTAGACCCACGACTTGATTCTGCAGTCTCTCATCAGAGGGAGCAGCTCCAAATCCCTCAGCACAATCAGGTGTAACTCAGGAGGTACCGAACCTAAACTGAACCTCTCCTGACTTGAACAGGTTAGATGCTCCCTTCAAATAAAAATCAACTTCAAAAAGAAAGTTATTTCATCTTAGAAAGAGAAAAGAATTAATCAGAAGGTAACTCTAAATTACGATTTGAGGCTGCACAGAGGTCTTCACCTCAGGAAACAACACAGACCACAACAATACACAAACTGGAAAGCCAAACCTAGCGGCCAGCCTCCTGGTTTGCTGAACCTGACTACCAACAAACGAAAAAGGACTCGAGAAAGGGACTGAGACCTCTGGGGTTGTCCTGTCTTTTGTTTTTTTTGGGGGGGGGGGGGGGCTGTTGAGTCTGCAGCAAAGCGGAACAGAGAGCAGTAAGCATGTGCCCTTCTCTGCTATGGGAGATTATTCCTGGATAAGGCAAAAATACTTGGGCGTCACAAAGAAGCAGCTGAGGGAGGAGACGCTGGCCTAACAGCCAGTCTTTCCCAGCTTTGCAATCAGCTCATCACAGATCTTTGTCAGTTCTTCAATTTCTTGGTTCTGAAAAATAAGAAGATGGGAGTAAGAGGATGATCTTTTGGCTCTTTTTGCATCCCCAGCAACTGCTGACTGTATTCAGAAACCATGGAACTCTAGCGAATAGATCCTGCCTTCCTATCCCAAGGATTGAGCACATCTCACCACTAGTGAATTGAGTTATTTATCTATGAATGAGAATATGACCAGGGCAACACACAGGGGAGGGCAGGAAGAAGGCCTTTTAGGAAATTATAAGCCATGATGGTTGGGTGAGATGATGTCTCAAAGGGCAATGCCGTGAGGGACAGGCCAAGAGACGTTACATGGGGTGTAGTGACCTTGCACTGGGATCCGGTTGAATGTTACAAATGACGTTCATCCTTACTTGGACTAATTGACAGGAGTGCCTCATTCTTGGTGCCTCTCGCTACCTCAGACTGTTTTCCTAAACCCCAAATGCACCTTCCACTCTCAGTGAATCACTAGACATCCCTTACAGCCTGATTCTAAGACAATTCCTCTCTTGCTGGTAATGACCTTCCCATTCATGTCTAACAAAGCACTTTATGCTGTACTTGTTTAATGCACTTTCTATGTGAAATGATCTACTAGAGCAATCACTATCCCTTTGGACACTCCATGAGGACAGGGATAAAGCTGAATCTGAATTTCATATCTCCCTCCAAAACTGGGCACAATGACAGATACAGCAAAGGATTTATACAGGTTTGTTTTAGACTGCTGAATACCTAGAGTTCCCTCTCACTTTTCTGAGTTACTTCAGGAGGGATATGACAGCTATAGTGGTTGTTATATGGCTAGGTGGTACTAGAAAGCTGGCATCATGGAAATGACCCAAATGGATGGTGGAGTCAGCAGCAGCTCACCTCTGCAGGGATTCTGGTGAGGTGGAGGTCTCTCAGATTGTTAGGTGATCATGATATTTTCCATTTAGAGAAAATAGGCATGGCCTCTTCATTTGCCCCCCTAAAGCTTAATCTTGACATCTTCTACTGACATTGTTCTACAATGACTTGTTATGATGTGAAGGTGACCCCAGGGCCTCAAAGACTATGCCAAGCTTTGACAAACCATGCAGGAAAAGTGGGATGATGATGGATCATCTGCCACCCAAGGACCAGCTCAATTAGGCTCAAGATAAGCTCATCACCAATACACTGACCACCAAGTACTTAATTTTCTTCTTTTTACAGAAATTCATGAAAACTATTTATTACGGCTTAGGGGAGGGAAGGTTTGGGAAGAGTAATGGGGGGAATGAGACTGTGATTTTCATTGGTAGAGGCAAAATACATATAGAAGAAATCTCAGATTCCTGAAGTAGTGACATCTTCGAAACAAGGTGGCTAAGGCAAAGGGCATCTTAACATTATGACTGATCTTTCTTCTTGAGCTGGGATTCTTAACTTCATTTGAAAAAATATTCTGAAAACCACATTTCAATATATTTATTAATTTTCTTTATAATACTATGTATTTTACATATTTAAAAAATATTATTCTGATAACAGGTCATCAGGCTTCACTACAAACTTCACTACAAACTACAAAAATTCCTAGTCTAAACTCAGGGTATACTGAATTGCTCGGAGACCTACAGAAACCACTGGGAAGGAAATTCCTCCCAGGCCCTCTGTCTCCCAATAATCCAAATGAAAAAACCATTACCTTCTGCTGAAGTGCTCTTTCTAGAGACTCCACTTTCATTTGTTCTTTTCTGAGGCCAGCATGGAGAGCTGCACTCTCAGCTTTGGCTTTTGTCCGAACCTGAGCAATCTCTTCGTTGGCTCTATGGTGTGGAAATTGATTGAAAAGGGAAAAAAGGCACAAGAATTAGGCAATGGGGACAGTTAAAGTGCCACTGCATTAGTAGTCAGCACTCACAGGATACGGACCCTTCCTGGAAGAGTTGACATCCACCACGTGCCTGATGAGGACAGACAGAAAATACCAACCTAAAGCCCCTCTCTGCTTGGTGAATTCCTACCCATTACTTAAAACCCAATTCAAATGCCAAGTCTTCCATGTCTTCCCTGATTTCCCTGAGGACTTAAAACTTAGGGTTAAAAGCTGTGGCCAATGAAAAATCAATCACATAGAAAGAAAGTGTCCCTGAAATTATAATCTGAGACAAGGAGAAAATGATTTATATAAAAAAAAAAAATTAATGTACAGCTTCCTCCAAGGAATGCTGGTCTTGCATAAAGCAACAGGCATAGGGAGAATAGCAGGAAGGCTTAGTCATACCCAAAGTCACGCTCTTCAGAACTCACTCACACCTATGTGGCCAGACACAGGGGCACTTTATGAAAAGGAGATATTTACCAAGTTCAATAAGGAAAAAGATTATACCCAAGACTATAGTTATGCTGATGGGGAAAAGGAATTCTCAATTTAAAACCCCTTGGCTGCAAAACATTCTTGCTCCTATCCACCTTTCCCGTAACACCCTAGACGAGGAAAGTCATGTTGATAGACTTACTTGTCTAGTTTTTCTTCTGCATGGAGTTTCAGGGCCTGATATCGCTGCTCCTCTTGTTTGACTCGAGTTAAGTAGTCTTGAGCACATTTTTTCAAAGCCTCTTCATTCTGTTCCAAGATGGGAATTTGAAATCAAAAGAACACGTTACTGCTTCTCCTAGACTATGGAAACCCGTAACAGGTTCTTCTTCAAGATTCAGATGCCTGTCATTTAACAAGTGCTTTTTTATTCATTCAATTAAACTTCATGAATTAAATAAAATTAAAAACAAAAAATATTTGTGTGACTTCTATGTTCAAGATAGTTATTCAAAGTCTCATCACAAATGAGGTGAATTAGACAGGGCCTCTCTTAAAGAGTACATACTATTGCTGTTAAAAAGTTTGCTGTTTATATGGACTGATGCTGAGTGAAGTGAGCAGAACCAGGAAACATTGTACACAGTAACAGCCACGTTGTGCAATGATTAACAGTGATAGACTTAGCCCTTCTCAGCATTGCAAGGATCTAAGACATCTCCAAAGGCCTCATGACGGAAAATGCTATCCATATCCAAAGAAAGAACTATGGAGTTTGAATGCAGATCGAAGCATACTATTTGCTATTTTTTTTTCTTCTGTTTTGTTTTCTCTTTCGTGTGGTTCCTCTCATTGGTTCTAATTCTTCCTTACAACATCACTAATGTGGAAAAAAAAAAATGCACATACTCCTGGATAAGGACGGGGAAAATGCCACATCTTAATTTATAATCTGTAGAGCAATTAAATATTATTCCTCCTAAAAATATTATACAATGTATATCCACTCAAGTACTCTTCCAGTACTTATTTGAGGTGTGGTACAAGACTTTGGGACCTTGAAGGCCAAGGCTTTGCCAACAGAATGCCAGTTGCGCTAGGCTGGCAGAAATCCATTACAAGCATGTATTGTTTGTTATGAACATGTACAGTCATGCACACAAAACAAATTAAATTACATTTCAATCTACACTGGGGCCATCACCTCTCTATCAGGAGATGGGTAGTATGTTTCATCATGAGCTCTCTGGAACTATGGTTGGTTGGTCATTGTACTTTAACAGTATTCCTAATTCTCAGGAAATACAGGAGTTGCTGTTTCATCTACCAGTCTTCAGGCTAGATGAGTTCTTGCTATCGTTACTAATGTTGGTTGGCCATGCCACAAAGAGCACCATGCATCTTTGAACTTTCCAGTCTGTATTCACAGCTTCAAACCTGGCCACAACAGTATGGACCATCAACAATGATAGAAAGAACTGAAAAGAGAATTAAAAAGAAGATTATAAAAGACAATTCAAAGCCCCAAGTGGGTACTCCATTAAGAGGCCGGCCACATCAAATGAGAGGTGAAGGAAACACCAAGGAATGAATAACCAGATAACCTTCCAGGAGTGACAAGGAAGCAGAGAGAAAAGGGCTCAGCACCTTCTTAAACCCTTCAAGGACTCCCTTGAGGTTCTCATATCTCCGGAATAGATCAGACAGAGATCTCTCCACAGAGTTCAGGTCTGCCAAGGCCTGCTCCTTCTCCATGGTCAGCTGCTGGAGGCTCTTCTGAGAGGTCATATTTGTCCTCTGCTCATCCTCTGGAAATATAAGGCAACAAAGTAAGAATGCTGGTGTGACCTCTTGCTTCAAATTAGTCTATAAATCTGATGAACATGTAAGGGGCACAGAACACAACTAGGTTATCAAATTCAGTGCTACGTTGAGAATAGGAATCCCTGTTCCAACATCCCCAACAGACTTGGTTATCACAGACCTCCCTATCTTTGGAGGTGCTGGTTCTACTTGGGGACAGCTCTCATTGTTTTTCCTGTTATCAATCTTACCATTTGCCTCTGAGACTTTCACCCTACTGCTCTTACATCTGTTCTCTGAGGACAAACCTTATAACACAGGTTATCAAACTTTTTTTTCAAATCCACTTTACACTCTTAAAAATTATTGAGGATCACCATTCTCTTAGAAAAGCTCATTTATATGGGCTATAGCATGAATATTTACCATATTAGAAGTCAGATGCCTGAGTATTATGTTGAAAAAAGTGTTGACTTCTCAGACCTCCTGAAAGGATCTCAGGGACTTGCTGCCTTTGAACAAGATTAATCTCTATTCCACATATAGAATGGCAAATACTGAAAGACTGCCAGGATGAGAACCACCAAGTTTTCTTTTCAATAGTCTCTGCTTTGCTTTATCTGAGAGCTACGATTTCTTACAACAACAAGGGCTGAAAGGGGATAAAAGTACAGTGCTATTGTCCCTTCAGAGGACATCAACGAGGTAGGGAAGGGGACAGGCTTTTGAAAACGTATGACAGTGAAAAATGCAATCTGCCACCACAGAAAGAACATTGTCTGACTACAGAGTGAAGCATACTATTTTTCTTTCTTTCAAGTGTTCTTGTACAAAATGACTAATGGGGAAATGTTTTACATAATTACACATGTATAACCTATATCAGATTGCTCCCCAATTGAAGGAGAGGGAGGGATAGAACTTGGAACTCAAAAATCAAAAACAAAAAAAACTCCACCAAACCAACAGATGTTAAAAATTGTAATGTAAATATAAATAAAAAATGTAAAACACATAATTAGGAAAAAAATAAATTAAAAAAAATGTATGACTAATATTTAGTAAAAGGTCACTATGGAGTTAGGTAGTTTTTGCCCTACTCAGCATTCTGATCTGAAATCCACCCCCAATGGCTCATACTTGGGAGATAACTTCCCTCTTACCAATCATTTGGGCAATGGTTTTTTCATATTCAGCCACAATTTTCCTAAAAAAGAAAAGAAAAACATCAGGGGAATTTTGTGTTTCCAAATGCACACTACGTATATTATTCCTTGCATACAACACTCTGCCATTTTCACTGGCTGTCCCCCACTTCCTGGAATGCTCTCCTCTCCACCTCTGCCTTCTAGCCTCCTTGCAAGTCTTAGTTAAAATCCCACGTTCTCCAAGAAATCTTTGCCTTTCATCCTTAAGGTGAGTGCCTTCTAAGATTCTCTTCCATCTACGTGCTAGCCCCTTGAGAGCAGGGTCTGTTTTTAATCTTTCTTTGAATCCCCCCAATATTTAACTCAGGGTCAGGCACATGGTAAGCATAGATGTTTTGTGAATTGACATACTAATCTGCACAAATACTGAGTTTCAACTAAGTCACTAGAATGGACCCAGTAAGATAGAAGGTTATTTCAGATTTATGCTGCCCTGTATAGATAGTCTTCTGCTACAATTTCAGAATACCAGAGAATTTTTCACTTATCCATGTTTTGCTCCTTGTTGTATTTCTTACTATAGTCTCAATATGCTTCTCCAGCTCCCAGTTCTGTACCTTGAAACATTAGCTTTCTGATTCCCCTTGTCTTTTCCCCTGCTCCTCACCCTGACTTGACAAGAACCTTGCTCTGAAAGAGCAGTTTTGAGTTTTTTTTTGGACTCAGTTTTGAGTCCAAGGACCTGCATTTAAATCTTACATCTGACGCTTATAACCAGAGTAGCTCAGAGCAAGGCATGTGACCTCCCTGGGGTTCAGTATCCTCATATGTAAAATTAAGGTTACACTAGGTGGTCAGAAGTCCCTTTGAGCTCTAGGCCAATGATTCTATGCTCTCTGACTTGCTTACTGTGTTACTATTACCTATGCATGTTTCTTATCATGCCCAAGGCATTATGCTAACAATCATCTTTATGTAACTACTAATCAGTGTGTAAAGAATTGGGTGAATGCTTGTTTTTCAAATACTACTTAGAAGGGACTTTTTTAACAGTTATCTGGTCCAATCTCATCATTTTACAGATGAGGAAATGAACCTGCCCAAAGTCACATGGGTAGTAAGCTTCTGAGCTAGAATTTGGACCTAGTTTGACTCTAAAAGGAATGTTTCCTCCCCGCCCCTCAGAAATTATTTAGGACGTTGGCTTTCTCCTCTCTGTGACTATTTGCCTTTAGCCACTTCATTATTTACCTGCTGCTCTGCCTGATCCACCAAAATGAACACCCTTAGGCTCTCTCCCCTGCCCCCAAAAGCTGTCTGTCCTACCTCTTTACGTGTTGTCTCTCCTCATTAGATTGTGAACTCGTTGAGGGCAAGGACTGTGTTTCTTTTTATTATCAAGTGTATCCCTGGTGCTTAGCACAGTGATGGCTACACAGTATACTGGATTGGCCATTTCAGTTTTCAACGCAATTCAATTTTCAAGGAGGTAACAGAAATCAACCTGTTTTGCCCTTTCTTATCACCTATGGCTCAACTCTGGTTGATGCTGAAGGGATATGATGCTAAAATGCATTTTAACAAATTCTTTATGGACTTGAATTATTTATGCTATCTCCCTCCCCTATGTGCACAGACATAAAAGAGTAGGTCTTATCCTAATGGTTTTCCATTGGTCTGCATTACACACATTTGTAAGTAGTGATGCTATTCTGTTTGTACAGAGCTCTGACATAACACAAATCACACAATGGCCCTGACTGCATCACCACCAACTGTTAAGACCTACAGGAGACCACAAATACTTAGAGCCCAAATTCTCATTTTGGAGATAAGGATACTGAGGCCCAGTGAGAGGGGCTGAAGCCTCAACAGCTGATGAATGCCTAAGCCAGGTTCCAGTCTAAGCCTTCTACTCCTTCGGGGGAGTCTCTCTGAGTAGAAGCAATGCTCCTCCCAGCTTGCAGAAGCCTGAGCGCAGGCTCGCCATGGCCCTGGTTTTCAGTGTATGGCTGTATACGTGGCATGGTGAAAAGAATACCGGCTCTGGTGTGGCAGATATTCAGACCAATCTAGCACAACATCTAGAACCACAGCTAGCATTCACAGAGCACCTTACGGTTTGCAAAAGGCTTTATACGCATTACCTCATTTAATCCTCAAGACAACCCTGGGAGATAGTTGTTCTATCATTCCCATTTTACAGATGAAGAAACTAAGGCAGACAGAAGAAAAGTGACTTACTGAAAGTAATGGAATACACAGGGTCCAGAGCCAGCATCAAGAAATCCACATCAGAACAGAAATCTAAATGTGTCTAAAATGGAGCTTGAGCTACTCATATGACCAGATGTGTCAGTGTCTAAAGCTGGATTTAAACTCAGGACTTCCTAACCCTAGGTTCAGTGCTCTACCCACATCCACTGTGTCAACATGCAAAGAGCCAAGTACTTCAATGTTCAAAAATCGCAGAATCGAGAATTTCAAAGTTTGAAGAAACCTCATTCAATGACAGACTAGTCCAACTCATACCCAAAAAAGGAATCTCCACTTTGATACATCCAACAAGTGGTTTGCCTGAAAACCTGCAGCAAAGGAGAACACAGCTAGGTGGCGCAGTAGATAGAGCACCGGCCTTGGAGTCAAGAGGACCTGAGTTCAAATCCGGCCTCAGACCAACCACTTGACACTTAACTAGCTGTGTGACCCTGGGTAAGTCACTTAACTCCAGCTGCCTAAAAATAAAAAAAATAATAAAAATTTAAAAATTAGAAAATCACTCTTATCTGCAAATTTTAGGCAACCTGTTAACCTGGGAATCACAAACCCATAAATAGGTCCAAAAGTGATATTCCAGAAAGGTCTAAGAATTCTGTGGAAACTCTAACCTCATTTCCAAGACTTCTTGTCGGGTCTCTTCATATTTTTTCTTCCATTCATTTGCTTCAATTTCTTTAGTGATTATCTAGAGCATAAAAGAAACAAAACCTGGATTTAGCTCTTCTGATACATTTTATTGATACAAATTTGGGCTTTTCAGATTAAAAAGTGGGAACATAAATGGGCATAGAGAAATCAAACCCCTTCTCAGTCTCTGTATTAAGAAAAAAGTCTCACGCTTATAGTGCTGTCTGAAAATTAAAATTAAATATTAATGTTATGATTATTAATAGAATATGTATGGATTTATAGAAGCATCTGTATCAGACCTAGTTAATTAATTACTCTTCTGTCTGCCAGGACCATATGGCCACCAACCAGAAGCATCCTCATGAAGATGAAGATGTCCTGGAACTGAGGCTACAGTGATAATGGGAAACAGCTCCAGTCTTAAGCGGGGATAGGGGCAAGCAGGAACAATGTCACTAAATCAGGTTGAGGCATGAAGGGATACTCTACCACTGGAGAAATGGAATACACAGGGATCCAGAGTCAGCATTGAGAAAACAGAACAAAAGTCTAAGTGAGCTATTCATGTGACCACATGTGAGCTCCATCTCTTTTATGATTTGGTCAGTCCTGTCTTTTTAAGGTGTTTGTACAGCACTGCACTATCTGTCCTCCCAGGTGCAAAGGGCTAGGGCTTTCAGGGATGCAGATGACAGAATGTCTCGACCTGTGTCAGGGCATGGAATGGTCCTGTCCTCTGGCCTGTGGTCTTGCTAGTTGACTATAAACCAGAAGTGTGTCCACCACTGCCAAGAATCCAGGATAGCAGCTTTGATTGAGAATCCTTTCTGCCCTTTCATGAGTAATGAATAGATGGAAACAGAGATAAGAAAGGGCTAAAAGGTGAAACCTGGGACCAAGATGGAGCTTATGCAGCAAACAAGAATAACAAGGTGGGTTTTTAGGGAGATGGGGAGCAGGAAAGCCAAATGGTTTCATAACATTTTAGAGGTTGTCGAAAGACAGCCATACTTAATCTGGCATCTAAAGCTACCTTCCTTGGATTTGGTGGTGATTGGTCATCCATTTGTATGCTGCCTTGGTAGTTCACATGGACCATTTGTGACCAACCTGTGCTAGAGCCTTCCAAGCTCACACTGGTCTGATAAGCCACAGTTGAGGACACACTATATACTTTAACCCTAACATGGAGATGTTATTTTGGTTGTCTTTGAGAATAAAAGACGACAACCAGCCTTGGTAGTTTTCAGCATGGCCTGCAGCTAAGGTTTCTTGTTTTTTTGAGTTGTGGCTTACTCTTCATGACCCCATTTGGGGTTTTTCTTGGCAAGCAACTAAGTTTAGGTAGTTTCAAGTGTCCTTAAATAATCCCCCATCTATCACCAAGACCATGGTTTGAGTGATGGAGGATGAGAAGAACAGAGGACAGACTCTGAAGTTAACAAAGAAGGGAATGTTTCTGACGGATGAATTAACAGAAATGGCATAATACACCAACAGACTAGGGCATCATGCTAGAGGTTTGAACTAATGGTTTTAGAACTAAAGTCCTAGGTTATAGTACGTATGTGTCACTTGCCCATTGGACTGGAGGTGGGAAGTGTTGGACAAGTGAAATCTAATTTGGAAGTGGGAGGAAGAGAATGGTCCATAAATGGAATAACAGTGGGAGTTCTCAGTCTGAGTTGATGTGGAAGCCCATGAAGCCAGAATACCTTTTGTAGGAATAACCAAGTCTTTTGGGACTTGATAACTTATAGTTACCAACTATATGACCACCAGTATGGCATCCTGGCATATATGGGTGGCACTGAGAGTACATTGAGAGGGATGATCAGGGGCTCAGGTTAAGAAGTAACCATACCCTAGAAGTTCTCCTAATTTATCGACCAGATCATCTTTGGCCTGTACTGCAGGTACACCAACCAAATATTATGGCAGACTTCACAGACACCAAAAGTAGTGGGTGACCAATTGCAGAGTATTGAACACTCCAACATGCCTGGCCATCCACCCGTTGTAGCAGGTGTAGGATAACTATCCACTCATCACCTAGAGGGTGAAGCGATACACGAATGAGCAGAAGCTCATCTGAAATGAAGTGCCAAGTAGAGCTGGCATGCTAGGTAGTAAAATTAACTTGGGTATACAAGTCGTGCTCTTTCTTAATGGATAATCTTGATGAGATCAAGGGGGGCTGGGACCTTACATTTCTTAGCTAAACAAAGGCTTATGGAGATGGCTCCTTCCTAGGGTGCCTGTACCCTGGCTTAACAAATGGAGCATTATTCTCTCCTTTGGGAAAATATTCAATTTTAAAGCAGAACTGACTAAAGAATGGAGTCATCAGAATTGGTACTAGTTGTACAATGCTGAAGTCATGGCTATTGGTGTGGCTAGTGATCCCCTTGAAGTACAACCACCTCACTTGCCTGTAATATGAGCAATTCTTTTCTCCAGATGACTGACAGTCTAGGGAGAAGGCGAGGGTTCCAATAGGCTGATTAATAGATCATTATTGCTACTTAAAGATGAGTTTTCATCAAAAAAATGTATTAAGGGTTGGAGCATATCAGGTGTGCGGAGGAAGTTAATCCTACTCTTTCTATAAGTGGGGCAATCAGAGACTCATTATTTACGTTCTGCAAGACTCTGGACTTGGAAGGCCCCCTGGCAGACACTATATATACTTTTTAAGGTCAATTATGAAAGCCTGTCAACCTACCAGGTGCTACTTCCATTCTGTCAAACTGCTACTTTATTAACTTCTCACAGAAACAGTACTCATTTGGACATGGTGCCTGGGACCTGGTAAGTAGATTAGCCTAGTACAGCATCACTCCATGAACTCCACAAGCCCTGGAGGACAAAGTTCTGGAATGTGGGAGGGACATTACAGTCCCAAGGTTATGTCCATATATTCAAATTGACCCAATTTAGTCCAGAAGGTCTTCTATCGTTCAAAAAAAAAATCATTTTTTTATCACTTACATTTCTTATTATATGCTTTCTCTTTCCTTCACCCAGAGAAGCATCCCTTATAACAATGAATAAAGAGAAGAAAAACAGTTCAACAAAACTAACCAGTCTATTGCAAGAGTCTGACATTATTTGCAGTATTATACACCCACAGACCCCATTTCTGCAAAGAAGGTGAGAAGATATGAAACCACATCAGTGGTTGTCAAGGTCCTTCATTATTCCTTGAAGAAGGTGTGGTGATGTAACTCAAAACTGTTTGACCACCTAGACAAGATGGCTACCTACTAGTAAAATATGAGGGCAGGAATTGTTTTTCATTTTTGTTTTCATATCCTCAGGAGCCAGCCCAGTGCCTTACACTGAATAAATAAAAGCTTGTTGAACTGATCTGAACTGAGATGGTCAGAAAGGGAGTAGATGGTGGGGGGGCGAGGAGAGAATAATTCAGGCTGTGACCTGTGATATAGAATAAGCATGAAAAGCAATAATGCTGTCAAGCTTGGGGACTCTAATCATAGGAGAGGCAGAAAAAATCAGGGTGAAGTATCCCAAATTAAAGCAGGATTCTGTTGTGTCAGAAATGCAGTTTGAGTTGTGAACTCTGCATTTCATGGGCCAGTTATGCCCGACCTTGAGTCAGAGGTGCACAGTGCTGTGCTTTGCTTCAATTATTCTCAACTTTGCTAAAGGGATGGATGGTGTCAATAAAACAAAAAAATCCCCAGGACACAAACACACCAGAGGGGGTAGGAGTGGGTGGTATGGATTAACAGCACAATGCGCAAAGATTGTAACTCCTAATCTTCTTCACTTCATCCTTCTCCAAAAACGGGAAATTTAAGAACTGTGTAGAAACTTGCTAAGCAGAAAATGGAAATGCACAACAGCCTGCATTTTACATGAATAATTCTGGTTATTATAGATCTATGAAAGTAGGGACCTAATTATCATCTGAAGTCTAGGATTAAAAAAGTTTGGAGTTTCTGTGTATTTATGTGTGCGTGCATAAAGCGTGTGCATGCAAATGTTTCTATGTAGGTATGTGTGTGCAATAAAGAGTAAATACTGGCTAAAGTGACAAAGAAGAATTAGTAAACTCATTCATTTGATTGTACTTATGTGTCACTTCTCATGTGGCTAATCCTTTAAGTAACATGCCTGTGATTAAGATCATTGGGTCACATATCTAGAGAGACCAAGGAGACCATCTTGTACAACATTTTCATATTGTAGAGTCTATAATACAGACAAAGTGAAGGGTCACACAGGTAGAAGCAGGATTTGAACATAGGTCCTCTGACAACAGTCACTGTTATTTCTCCTGTATCATGGTGATTATGATCATTGGTGGCCATGAAATGGTAAATGAAAATGTGCCTGCAATTCCACAACTGTGTGACAATAAGCAAGACAGAATGCTGTGGTACTACAGAAAAGCTCAGGCAAAGAGAAGTTAGATCATTCCCCCTAAGGACGTAAGTAAACTTCAAAGCCAGGGATTCAAACCCACATCCACTGTTCTTGAATCCAGCACTTTTTCTATTGTATTTCACAGGGAGTTCTTTAAGAGTCCTATAACTTCAACGCACGTGTGATTCTGGTCAAAAAGGGATGACATCTACCTGCTAGGCTAGGGTTTTTGTGAACAAAGCATCCAAAACCCAAGCCATTACCTCTTCTCTTATTAAGGTCAGGACTGCAGTCTTATCTGATTCACTGAGACAGATGCTATCCAGGGGACTTTCATCTCCACATGCCACAGACACAGGGGCTTTCTCAGTTGAGCAATGGTCAAACACACCCTGTAGAAAGAAAAACATTATTATTAAAAAGCACGCAAGCCACTGGCTTCTAGGCTTAAATCTGCCTAAAAAATTGCTCTGTGTTGAGGTTTTCCACCTGATTATGCCTCCTTTTATGGAATTATTAGCAAGCCAATGAGAACACATGGTATGGCCAGATTTTGATGCAGTCTCTCTTTAGAAATAGCTACATCAGATACCAAAAGGATCAGCTCAGATGTTCTCAGCATGTGTGGGCTCAAAGTGCTTAACAAGATGTTTTTCCCCTTGTCTTTAAAGTCAATGAGGGACTGGTTCTCAATCATAGCCATAATATCAATGATACACATTCACCGAAGGTTTTTCACCCGTATATTATGTCATTTGAGTCACAACAATACTGTACTATTATCCCCATTTAACAGATGAGGAAATTCAGACACAGATTAAGTGATTTGAGCAAGCACCAATTGACATTTATATATAATACTTTATAATTTTTTAAAAATGTTAAAGTTGGCAGCTAGGTGGCAAAGTGGAGCACCAGTCCTGAAGTCAGGAGGACCTGAGTTCAAATCTGGACTTGGACACATAACACTTGCTAGCTGTGTGACTCTGGGCAAGTCACTTAACCCCAACTGCCTCACCAACAACAACAAAAAAAAAGTTAGAGTTAACATGTAATTAGGGAAAAATAAAATATTATAAAATTTTAAAACTAATATGCAAAGCACTTTTATATACATTATTTTACTAAGCCTTATAAAAACCCTGAAAAGTGGGTACTAAAGACTTTCTTATCACAGTTACTATGTCAGGGCAGTATATGAAACCATAATTTTTCCTAATTCTAAATCCAATAATCTAACTGTTTTATCAAGCTGTAATAGAAAATTTTTTGGGGGAGATTGGACCTTCCTCTCTTACCCAGTCACTCATGGGCTCAACTCCACTGATGAGCAACATGAAAGCTCTGAACCACTCCTGTTTCCAATCTGGGTTTCTGATTCACCTACTCTCAAGGGCTTACCATATTGGTGCACTATATCCTCTGTAGCCCTTTTGCAGCTCAGAACTCCCAAAATCAATCCACCAACTTCTAGAGATTACAGTCATGCGCTATCACTCTAGTCTAACATATCATTTATTAGTTATTGTTGAATTAGTAGATGTTTTTTCCACCTAAGTGACTACATAATGAAAGCTCATGGCTTTAGAGATCAAATTTTTTTTAAAAAATCCACCTATCTATACTATCTCTACTTACTATACTATCTTATGGGAAAGATGCAATCTTAGGATCTTCCTGACTCCAGGCCTGGTACTCTATCCACTGCATCACAAATGTTACCAGTAATCACCTTATTGAAAATCTCATGCTCAATCTTAAGTCTCTTTTACTGAAAACACTTTGTCCACTCCTCATTCCCATTTTATAGATGAAGAAAATGGTGGAAAATTAGTCAATAAGCATTTAATTAATGATTACTACGTGATACAGCTAGAAGGCTCAGTAGATACCTGGAGCCAGGAAGACCTGAGCTCAAATTGGGCCTAAGACACTTACTAGTTATGTGACCCAAGGCAAATCACTTCACCTCTGTTTGCCTTAATCCACAGAAGGAAATGGCAAATCATTCCAGTATCTTTGCTAAGAAAACCCCATGGACAATACGGTTCACGGGATCATGAAGAGTCAGAAAAGACTGAACGACTAAACAACAACCTATGCTAAGGATTGTGCTAAGTGCTGGACATATAAAAAAAGGCAAAAAAAGTACCTGCCCTCAAGAAGTATCCATTCTAAAGAGGGAGACAACATGTCAATATTTAGATACACAGAAGATACAGAGTAGATGAAAGTAGTATGGAATGGAAATCAGAGAAAGCCTCCTGCAGAAGGGGGCAGATATAAGCTGACTCCAGAAGAAAGCCAGGGAAACTAAGAGACCTAGGGAAGGGAACATTCTAGGCATGGGGGCGGAGTCAGGGAAGGGGGATAGCCAAGACAGTCAATCAGTGAGCGTTTATCAAGCATCTACTATGGTCAGGCACTGTAGCACAGAGGGGTCAGGTTGTGAAGGGCTTTAAATGTCAGACAAAGTTATTTATAATTATCCTGGCAGCAACAAGGAGCCCCTGGAGCTCACTAAGGGGAGGTGTGGACGAGGGAATGATGTGGACGTGCACTAGAAAAATCACCTGAGTGGAGGACGGAGCGGCATGGGAAGAGACCTGTGGCAGGCAGAGCCACCAGCAGGTTACTGCAGCCGTCCAAGAACGAGGTGATTGAGGGCCCAGATTGGGCTTGTGGCTGTCTGAGTATAGATAAAGGAGATGCTGTGAAAGCAGAAAGGACGTCACTTGGCAACACACTGGATGTGTGGGGTGAGTGAGGAGGCAAAGGTGACACAGATTTTTTTAGCCTGGGTGACTGGGAAGATGCTCCTTCCCTCAACAGTAACAGGGAAGTTTGGAAGGGGAGAGGGCCTGTGTGAGGGAGGAGGCAGGGGAAGGAGTTCTGTTTTGGACGTGCCAAGTTTGAGATACCTATGGCACATCTAGTCTGAAATGTCCAAGAGGTCATTGGAGATGTTTTACTCTATAGCTCAGCAGAGAAACCAGGGCTAGATATAGAGATCTGAGCAACATCTGCATAGGCGAGATGACAACTGAGGACAGGAGAGCTGATGCGATCACCAGGTGAGAAAGAAGAGAGGGTGCCCAGAGCAGAGCCTGGGGGGATCCCCAAAGCTGGTAAGCCTGTCACATGGATGAAGAACCAGCAAAGGAGACAGAGAAGAGATTGGACAGGCAGGAGGAGAAGCAGGAGAGAGAAGTGCCAAGAAAACCTAAAGGAGACAGTCTCCAGAAGGGGCTGATCAACATCAGTTGCTGTAGACAGGTCAAACAGGCTTAGGATTGAGTATGAGATTTGGTAATAAGATGATTCCTGGTAACATTTGTGGTACAGTGGATAGAGTGCCAGGCCTGGAGTCAGGAAGACCCAACCTGGGCCTTGGACTTAGTAGTATGACCCTGGAAAAGTCACTTAACCTCTGTTTGCCTTAGTTTCCTCAATTGTGAAATGAGGATAATAACAGAACCTACCTCACAGGGTTGTTGGAAGAACCATATAAAATCCTATTTGTAAAGTGGTTAGCCCAGTGACCAGTACATAGCAAGCCCTATAGAAATACTTATTCCTTTCCTTTTGTCCCAGTTCCTTTAACCAATCCTCATAGGACAAGAATTTCACCATTCTGGTTGCCTGCCTATGGACACCTCAACTTATCAATGTCCTTTCTAAACTGTGGCAGCCAGGTCTGAAGAATATATAGTACTGAATTTCTAAGTCAAATACTGCGACCAAGATAATAATAAAGGCAAAACAAATCACTTTTACAAGACAGCAGACCTGAGCACAGGCTGCTGTAAAAGCAGAGGGAGAATGCTAGCAAGTTCTGTTTTGCTAATGTCCCTGGAGGGGAAGAGAACAAGGGTCACTCAGTCTGTCCAAGTTCATTCTGCTGACAGTGTCAATGCCACTGTCAGTTATCCTTGTCACAAGGGCAGCAGAGAAAACCTCAGGCCCTGTCCCTCAGCTGTTTCTTTCTACATTGATAACAGTGATCATCTGAACCAGCTCCAAACTCAAGAGGGTAAAGAAATTATTGAATATGCTTTGCTTCTATAGGGCTAAATGCTAAGAAGGGACATCGTTGCAATCAAGATGGAAATCAAAACCCACTGCGTCCAGCTAGGGCTCATTCATTTGGTTCTACAATCTCTTCTCAATCTTGCTTGCTGGCTTTGATGGAGTTGTATTTAAAACTGCTGTCCAGGCGACTGGGAGAGGAATGAATTTCAGTAAAAGGCAGACAGGCTTTGGTGGGGGGGGGGGTGGCAAATTTCATCTAGGCGGAGCTTTGCATGCTGGACTTAAGCTTAAGCTAGGTTCTCTTCCACATTTCAGGAACATGAAAATGAAGTTCCCTCATGAAATTCATCTCAGATTCTTTCCCCAAGATTGTCTGTTCTCTATCACCAGCTTAAATTATTCAATGAGCACTTGTTAATTGCCTACTATGTGCCCAAGTGCTAGTGATAGCCACAAAAGTGAAAAAAGTCCCTGAGAGCAAGAAGCTTGCATTTGATTATACATTCTCTACATTTCTCTCCCTTAGGATCACAATACGAGTAACCAAACTCCCTGACTGTACATCACACTTGTTTTCAAAGCTTTCAACAACAAATGGCCTGATCTTTGCCACAACCCAATGAGGTGAGCAAGGCAGGTTCTATCTAGTTTTCCCTTCTGACAGTTTACAAAACTGAAGTTCAGAAATTAACCGAAGGTCACCTGGCTGGCTGCTGACAAAGGTCATGATTCCTGGTCCTTTGACATCATGCTCTTGCCAGTATCTTCCCCTGCCTTTCCATACTTTCACCTTACCACTGACTGACTGCCTACTTGGAGTACTTGATGTACTCCTCTTGAGGAATCACAAATAAAAGAAGTGGGGTTTCTAAAATGCATGGTGATTTTTGTAAAAATTTTCTTGGGGAACCATGTCATTTATCCCTTTCCATGGGAGTTCATGTATTCCCCTTTAGGCCAAGACTAGCTGTCAAGCTGTGCTACCTCAACTGATAAGCCTCCCAACTAAACCTTTCCATTTTTAAAGCTGTGTGGGAATTTTATTGCTACTTTCAATTGATCTCTGGGCTACCATTATTTTAAAAAGAAAAAAATACTAATTTTCCCATGGGATCTGAAGCAACTATTTGGAAGAGAGTTATGTCCCAATAATCCCTTATAGATGAAGTCATTCATGCTTTTAAAGGATTTTTAAAATATCCCATCAGTTAGCAACTCTGAAATGATGTGTGGATGGTATGATCCTAATTTTATATATAAGGAAATTGACCTATAGAAATAAAGTGATACGAGTGATAAAGTAAAGGAGAGAATGTGGAACTTGTTTTAAAAACAAACGACAATGCTATCTACATCCAAAGAACTATGGAGTTTGAATGCAGATCAAAGCATACTCTTTGCTATTTTTTTCTTCCATTTTGTTTTGTTTCCTCTTTCTGGCGGTTCCTCCTATTGGTTCTAATTCTTCCTTACAAGATTACTAGTGTGAAAATATGTTTAATAGGAAAGTACTTGTATAGCCTACATCAGATTTCGAGCCATCTTGGGGAGGGAGGGGGAGAAAAATTTAACACTCAAAAGCTTATGGAAGTGATTGCTGATAAATCAAAATAAATAAAAAAATTTAAAAATGATAAAAACTGTTTTTTACATGTAAACGGGGAAAATGAAATACTAAATAAAAGCTTGAAAAAAAAAAGAAAGTCCAAGGTCATCCTTTCACCTCTGGGGGCCTTAGTTTTCTTGTCTACAAAATAAGGAAGCTACACTCAGTACCTTTCAGCTCTAAATCTGTGATCCTGTGACCCAGCAAGCAAGTGGATGAGCTAGCAACTCAGGCAACAGGCCTCCTGATGCAAGGTTATTTTAACTGAACCATGCTGCTTCCAAGGAATGTCAGTGAAGAGATTGATTCAGATTTAAATAGGTCTGTCCTTAACAGCCCATGTTCAAGTTTTCCTCAGGTCCCTGCCTCATTACAAAGCAGAGGCGTCCTTGGTTGTTCCAAGGCTTTGACCATGCAGCACAACCTGTGACAAGTCCTGTCAAACTGGAAAGGCTTTGGGTAAGAGCCACCGCCTGGAGCTCACTCTGCAGAGGTGCTCACCACAAGGTTAGCCACCAGGTGATCAATATATTCTGGCAGCAAGTCATGAAGATCATCTACAAAGGTGTGGAGAAGGTTGGGGCCACCCATTGGTGGACCACAAGGATGAGCTCTATGCAACTGTGTAGTTCACTACAACACAGACCATGTTGTATTAATTTGGAGGGTGGTGGTGTGTAGAGGAATTGGACCTGCAATTCTAATGTAGACTGGTATCTGACAGTAACCAAGTAATCTGGAGGCACTGAGGGATTAAGGGACTCGTCTAGGGTCACAGAACCAGCAGATTTTAAAGGCCAGACTTAAACTCAGGCCTATTTTCTATCTGCAAAGCTACCCACCCACCCACCCTTATACAGATCTTTTTATTTTCAGATATTAAGGAAAGCCTGGGAGGAACACTGTGAGTCTTTAAATGCAGTGATTGAAGTTATTTCCTGTCTAAAACAGGTTTTGGATGGTGCCAATTATACCCAAATACTGAATGTGAATTCAATAGGTCTAATAGGACTAACTAACACAATTTTGTCCTAACTTGAATAGCTGCAACCTCCCCTACCATGCCTCAAATAACTCCTATTGAATTATCTGGGTATAATGAATGGACATTTATTGTCTAAAATGACTGTACCAATGGCAGGGCTAACATCAGGCCAGATCATACTGGCAATAATGGCAAGGAGAAATTTATACTTCTGAAATCTTTATTTAGTATGTTTAAACTTTAAAGGAAACCACTCCAACAGTGCCTCTCTCTAATCTCTTTTCCAACACAGCACACACAGGAACTGCCTGTCCTACAGCACACTGATTAATAATATGTCTATCCAGAGTGAACATGACCATTGGGATATACTATATTTAGGACTAGCTTGGAAGTGGGGCAAGAAAGAAGCTGAATAACAGATTCAAAGGAGCTAGAGAGGAGTTATACTTAACACTAATGTCAGGCTGACCTGGGAACCCTAGGGGATAAAAGGAGTTACAAGGAAATCACAGGAATAATTAGCTGCAAGGTCAGTGGAGCCAAGAAAGGCCAAAAGGAGGGGCTCTGCTCTCCAGAGTTTGTGCTGACCAAGCTGTAATAATCAGGAAAATGTCCAGTACTGTGCACATATGCAGAGAGAGCTAGTCTCAGAACAGATGGGTCATGAAAGGAAGTGGCTTGGGGAAACCGGGTGGATGATGACCTTGGAGTCAGGAGAGTTGGCTTTGAATCTTGTCCCTTCCTCTTATTAGCTGTTGTGGTCCCAGACAAATAAGACACCCTGGGTCTCTGTTTCCCCATCTATAAAAGGAGGATAAAAATGCTTGCACTACTGATCTCATAGTAGAAATAAAATGAACTCTACTTCATAGGGTTGTTGCAAGGACCAGATACAATAACATAACATTGGCTTTTACTATTATTGTTATTATGTTCTGATGCAAACACAAGACATAAGGAAAATAAGGAGTTATTGTCTTTGGAGGTGGGGTTTGGAGGCATTTTTAAAAAAGGTTTCTTGAAGGTGACCCTTGTGTTGATCTCTAAAGGGAGCTTCAGGGTTCCAAGAGGCAGAATTAAGTAAGGAAGGAAAAGTATCCCAGAAAGGAAGGGCAATCTATGCCAAAGGCACAGAGGTGGGAAGAAGCAGAGATAATATGCATTTGGAGAGACCAAGGCCCTGGGCACCTCCTGCTCCAGGTGGGAAACACGTACCATGATCAGTGTTAGGGGGATACCATGGTTTGGTCCCTAAGGTCAGGACCAAGTCCCACCTGCGTATACAGGACCAACTCTGAAAGCTTCCCCCAGGCCAGCCTTTCTGCCTTGACTAGGGGAAAAAGATGAGTTCATGGAGCAGCTAGGTGGTGCAGTGGATAGAGTACCTGCCCTGGAGTCAGGAGGACCTGAGTTCAAATTTGGCTTAAGACACTTGACACTTGCTAGCTGTGTGACCTTGGGCAAGTCACTTAACCCCATGCCTAGCCAAAAAAAAAAAAAAAAAAGAAAAGAAAAAAGATGAGTTGGTTGAAGATTCCCTTTCCCTGGCCCCTTGTTGTCTGAAAGTCCAATATAAAATTTCAAAATGAAAAAGCAACACACAGTTCTGAACTTACTGGTACACTGGATCCATCCTTCTCCATCTTCTGACAGCTATCCTTTTCTAAGCCTAAAAACACAGAAAATCACGTTACAAGTGTTTCAGGGAATCTATCCTTTCCATCTTTAATGGGAATTGCCTTTAAAACAGGGGTTCTTAACATGAGGTCTGTGAACTTGTATTTTTAAAAAATTGATAACTACATTTCAATAGAATTTATTTCTTCTGTAATAATATTTTATAATGTTATTTCATGCATTTAAAAAAATCTGAGGATCCCATATGCTTCTCCAGATTATCAAAGGGGTCCAAAGATCCCTTTGATACAAAAAAGATTAAGAACTACCATTTTACAAGCATCCCTGAAACTCTACAGTTTCATCAGGGCCAGGATATTCCATCTTTACATGTAATTAGAAAAAATAAAACACTATTAGATGGAAATAAAATAAAATAAAGTTTGGATTACAATTGAGTAGTTGATACCTTTTCCCACTACTCTCATAGGTTGGAGGTGGGTGGGTATATGTGCCCACGAATGTGCAACATTGCAAGTACAAACAGTTCTTGCTTCACACAGACCTCTACATAAAGTGATGCAAATTTGCCCCCAGATGTGGAGAGGAGAGGGGGCCAGGGTCAGCCTGGGTCTGCAGGGGCTAGACACCAACACAGACAGAAGAGGATGGGTGACATGTGAAAGCCAAGGACAGATGATATGTGATGCCTAAGCACAAACAGACAGACACTGGCTGGAGGGGAGGGGAGGGGAGGGGAGGGGAAGGACACCAGAAAAGCAGGTAGGTAGGTGGGACAGTGCAAAAGTCTGCTCTGACAGAGTTCTCAAGCCAAGCCTCCAACCCATGGTGGTCTCTCTGCAGTCTGTTCTTCTGCTTTCACTTGGAAGGTGTTCGGCAGGGGTGGGGGTAGGGGTGGGGGGTGGGAGGCTGTGGAGTAAAGAGCTGAGGGGTGGTAGTAGAGAGAGAAAGCACAGTACTATTCAGTATCAGTAAAGTTAACACTGGTGTTTTTTTGAGAATCCAGATTTCTTTTAGAATCCTTTACATAAAGTTAAATTTGCATAATGTAAATTTCTATGAGGTGAGAACTGTCTGTATTGTCGATTTTTTTTTGATGTTATCAGTTTTTCTTTTTTTTAACCCCTTTTTTTTAAAAAAAAAATCTGTTATATGGGATGGCTCTCTGGGAGGGGTAGAAAAAAAGGAAACTTAGGCTAAGTAAACACAAAATATACCAATAAAATTAATCTCTAAAGAAAAAATAAAGATAGAAAATTGAGTTGCCGTCTATTGTGCAATCCTGCTATTTGGTATGAAACGTCCAAGGAAGAAATGGGTTGAGTTGGTTAGCCAAGAGCCCTTAGGAGCACCTGCAGTGGGGAGAGGCAAGGCTGCCATCTAGTGCTGGTCAGGGGAGATGCAGCTTTGAGTGTTCATAAACACAGACAAGCACAAGGGAGAGATGATTGTTATTTTATCATCAAGCCTGGGTGATTTTAACCTAGGCAGGTCTCCAGGAGTAATATGGATCGGGCTGATCTTGCAAGAAGTCTATATCTAGTGAGGAAATAAAGACAAACACAGAAACATGATTAAATTTAAATGTTCTCTATTATAGATCTATTTCTATCGTTTAGGATGGTATATCCCTGTGATTTTAATCAGTGTGGGGGAACTAACCACCAGTGTGGAAACCTGCTCCACTGAAGCAGATCACCGTGGCCTGGGCCACTGAGAGATTGAGCCAGAGGAAGCACTACAGCTCTGGACTTCTAGATTCAAAAGCTTGCTCTTTGTGCACCACATGCCACAACCGCCCCTCTGTCCTCTATCTATAAACCAGAGCCACCGAAGCCTGTGTAGATAGCCAGGTGTCCCAAAAGTTTTAAGCTATTAAAGCTTAATTACAGATCAAAACTACACTAAGTGTTCTGGGACACTGTCTGAGAATTCACTGATGTGGATTCTTCCTTCTTTGGTGCTTCAGGCCTTCTGTCCCGTAACCATCATCCCAGCCTTTCCACAAAACCCCCATGGAAGTGACCCAATGCTGCAGGCCTTCCTAGGTTTTTTCGTGAGTACTTCATAGCTATCTATCTATTCACGAATAAGGACAGAGTCTGGACATGTGATTTTGTTTGTTAAAGGAAACCCCCTCGTGAAAAAAACAGGTCGGCACCTTCTAAGTGACTCTGAGTCTTGGTGAGTGGCCTGGAATGCTGAAAGGTTAAGGGATTCACGTGGCCAATGTGTGTCAAAGGCAGGGCTGCAACATGGGTCTTCCCGCTCTTAACCACTGGACCAAAGCTACCTCTATGCTTAGGAAGGGAGAATATATTCCTCCAACACCCACTTCTCTGTGGGCATACAAGTTCCAAAGCAAAGTTATGTTGCTGAATAGGAAATGTGATTTATAATGCTTATTTTAGAAGATGAACAAACAGTTCCAAACCTCATCTGACAAAGAGAATGCAGAATTGTCCTGGCAACTTTAAATAGCAAACAAGTAATAGTGACTTGAGCTTAATGTGCTTTCTGTAGTGCACAAACAAAAGAAGATTCTTAGACTTTATAGTGAATCACTGAGGTGTAAGTTTCAAGATGCAGTGGACAATCTGGCTCTCCAAAGCCTGAAAGCAGGACTATTATAGAAGCCTAATGATTCCATCATACTGGCCCCCTCTCACACTCAGATGTTTATATGCCAATGCACAGAAGGTGGGTAACTGAACTGGCAGATTTACTAAGGAGGTAAATGAGATCTCCCATCAGTAAGCTAAGCTTTAAAAGGAACACTTACACAGTACAGGCACGGGCATATAACTGAAAATAAATACGAAAAGAGTGAGTTGGCAGGGATGCCGTCAGGAAAGGCAATGCCTAATGTGGCTGAAATTCACAATAAGGTTTTACTGATATTAGAAGACAAGATGGAGAAATGGAAGTGATGAAACCCTTGCTCTGCATGGATGTAAGAGTGAAATTGGTTAACCCAGAGAAGGTAGAACTATAGCTATTAGAACTTAAAACTGCATTGAGGCCTTCGGGTCACCTTGTATTCCTGTTTTGATTATGGAATGAATGATCTCCAGAATGAGAACTGAACAAAAATGGTTAAGAAGGAACTGAAACAATGAGATAAGTGAGATGGTGAAAGCGTAACAGGTAATGAAATAAATTCAAGCTACTTGGCCTGGACAAATTATATTTATAGATTATTATATAATTACATAAATTATATTTATTTCTATATTCTATTGATTACATATTTTATATATTTATATTATATAGGAAACTAGGAGACATTTTTGATGGACTAGAGACAGGAAAATATTCTCCTTATCTATTAAATAAGGAAAACAGACTCTTCAGGTTATATGTAGGCAAGGGAACTTGACTTGATTCCTAGAAAAATATCAGAATGGATTGATAAAAGGGTCTTTGGGAGCACTTAGAAAGAGAAGCAACAATTGCCACGAGTCAGTATGGGTGCATTAAGAACAAGTCAAACTGGACCAATTTCAACTCCTTTTTAGATAAGAGCTATTAAACTGCTCTACCAATGAAATGAGGAGGGTACATTATACCTGGATTTCAGCAAATACCTTAACAAAATCTCTCAAGCATACTAACAGACAAGATAAGATGTGAACTGATAATAATCTAGTTAAGAAGGTTCTAGTTAGCAGCTCTTTAAGAAACAATCCAAGAGTGATGATTCATGAATAAGGGTAAATCTGGAGAAAGTTCCTTGGCTCTATTTTGTTCATTATTTTATCGACAACTTGGATGAGGTCATCAATGGCATGCCTATTTTGGGGACAATAAGCCAGGACTGAATAGCTCCAACTATTCAATTCTTAATTTGCTTCTATTTCCTCTACCAAGAATGATATAATCTGAAGATAATATAAATTTGGGAAGGGCAGCTAATATAGTACAAGACAGAATTAGGATGAAAAATCTCTATAAGGCTTGGAATGGTGGATCAATTCAAACAAGATCAAATGTCATAGGTAGAAATACAAAGTCTGGCAGTTGAACTAAAAAAAAATCAACTGTACAAGTACGGTGAAGACTTAGCTCCATTAAAGTTTACATGAAAAAGATAAGGGAGCTTGATAGACTATAATCTTGAAAATGAGTCAGTAATGTGATTAAGGCCACCAAGGAAATTAATGTGATCTCAGGCAATACTAACAGGAGCACAGTGTCTCCACAAAAGAGGTCATGGTTCCCTGGTCTGAAATCTGCATTATTACAACCAATTCTGGGTCCTGCACTTTAAGAAGATCTTGACAAATAAATTATTTCCAGAGAAAGGAAACCAGGAAGGAGAGACAACAGCTGTGCCACATGAGAAACAACTGCAGAATGACTCTAGACAAGAGAAGATAGGGGAGAAAGTAAGAGGACATGATTGCTGTCTTCAGGTATTTGAAGGGTTAAGTAGAAGAATGATTAGACTTGTTTTGTTTAACCCCAGAGGGCAGAGTCAAGACCAACACAGTTCCAGGGAGATAGCTGTAACAGTTATAGCTCACAATACTTGTACCTTGGGTAGTACGAGGTTGATGCAGGACCTAAGAGGGTGGCCATAACCTTTTGCTACCTCCTCCCCATTTATACACAAAGTGGTCATGGGGCGGGGGGAGTGGGGAAGTAGGGGAGGTCTACGGTAGTGGCCTTTCCCTTCTGGTTGACTATTGAGTGGGCATGACCATTAGTATCAGCGAGGGAAGGCCATCCACTCAGATCAGTTTAACACCTGCTCCCAACACCCACATATTTTGGCTGAAGGTCCCATCCTTTTGACATCCTCTACCTTAAATTGGATCTCAACAACCATTTGCATGGAGTGAAGGGTGCCAGGGATTGCCTATGCAGGTGCATGAAAAGTGATGTAAGGTGGGGAAGGGATTTCCCTCTTTCTCGACCACTTAGGTGTCACCACCACCCCTACAAAACAGGACTGACCCAAGACAAAGCTCTATTTGCCTTATTCTAGTTATGATTCTGAAATTTGGGGAAAAACATTTAGCTCCAAAAATAAGAGCCTTCCCAAAGCAGAGTGGGCAAACTCAGGAGGTCGTGAGCTCCTTGTCACTGGAGGTCTAGAAGCAGAAGCTGGATCATCATCATCACTGTTTGGGATCTTATGAAACGGATCCATGCCTTATGTGGGGCCGAGTTCACATGCTGTTTTATAGCTCTTCCAATTTTGAGATTCCAAGCCCTCTTCTTTATGGTAAAAGAGTCCAGAGAAAAGAGCTGGCCCAAGTCCTCTGTTCCTGTTGTCTCTTCCCCTCACCCCCATTAGGTTCAATGATTCCAATTCTTCTAACCTTCTTATGAGGTAGCTATCGCGTCAGGCTTTCAGAATGCTCTAAATTATTAAATATATGATAGAAGATATGCTCTCATACCTGCTTCTGAGGATGAAAACGCATGATTTATGGCAGACACAGGAACATTGGAACATTCAAAGTACTCCAGGTCGTCTTCTGGCTCACCTTTCACCTCGGCCTCAGATGGTTTCTGGCTGGATGATGTAGAAGCCAATTTCTCTTCATCAGTGGCATGGCCATCCCTATTTGAAATGTCTGGGATCTGGGAGATAATTGCTCCTTTATCCTAAAGAAATAAACAGATGCTTAGCCAACGCTGATCTGATTGTAGAGGAAAACTCAGATGAACATATTCAGAAGAATACACACTCTGGGTCCTGGTCAACCCGTGAGGATCATGATGTATCAAGCATCACATTCTCTATATAGGACCTATCCAACCACTGGAGACCTTCTACAACTCTGTGGGTAGAAAACTGTTATGCCTTACCCTTCCTGGATGATCTGCCCACCTCCTCTTTTCCAATCCATACCTGTCCTTGATTATGTCACTTTTCTGGTACAAATCATTCCTACTGATACAGTGCTTAGCATAGTGCCTGGCACCTAATGGTAATGCTTTATAAATGCTTATTGAGAGAACACAGCCTACTTACACATAGTCTGAGTCTTCCCATTCATTACCCTTTGTAGATACTTCAAGTAATGGAAACATCAACTTCAATATTTTGAAACAATGGATATATTCTGCATTCTACCACCCCCACCTCCAACTACCGTCCCACAATCATTCAAGTTACAAAATAAACAAAATGAAACATCTTTTACTGGTTTGTTTTCTTGCTTTGTCCATGAGGGGAGCTTTGAAAAAAATTCCTTTAATTACCCAGAAAAATGTACATAAACATACACACATACATAAAAAAAATTTCTATCTATATGTGTGTATCTTTTCTAGACTCCAGTTTCCATGACTTAATTGTGGGGTTGGAAGGAAATGGCAATTACTGGTCTCAATTCACAAATAAAAAGTTTACACTGTGAGACTCCCAAGTAACAGACTTAGACCTACCTGAGAACACACATCCAAAGTAAGTGACTGAGCTTCATACTTCTTTCCTTTACAGCCACTCCTGGAAAGAAAAATAGGCCTATTTAGAATCATATTCCTAGTTTCTAAGGTGTGCGGTAGGCAAGAAAGCGTGTGCAGCAGACACAGGCTAAAGCATATGAGACTGTACAAAGAAAGGTCTACAAATAAATCAGAGATGGAAAATGCCTGATCGGTCACAAACTCCACATATTCTCCCATAGGGAAAGAAAGGGTAAGAGGAATAAACTACCACTGGGTTCATCCTTAAAGAAAAAATACTTCAGTTGCTTCCACAAGCTAGTACTGAAGACTGAACTCTCAAATGGCTGTAGGACTTCACCAGTACATTCCCTAAAATGATAATCTCAGGCCTGGAGTTTTTCCAGTTTCTAACAAATGAGATTTTGACACCGATCAGAAAATACGATTCTCAAACAAGTTCTCTACAAACTACAGTTGGGCAAATTCCTTAGAAGTAACTCCAGCAAGAAAATTGAGCGTGGCTCCACTTACTAACCAAAGAAGGAGAATTCTAGTCAACAGACAGCATAACAGTAAAAATACTGGAGCAGCCTGATATAAAACCTTTCATGCTGTATTAGTAACAAGACAGATGATGAACACTATGTCCTGTGTACAGCCAGAACTGGGGAAACTGAAAACAATTTAATATGGCACTTGCTATTTTGAGAAAGCACAGGATTTTGCTGTTGGACAATCTCATTAGGTTTCTATATTTTTATATCAGAAAAAAAAAGGATACATCTGATTTTTAAAAACCTTTTTATTTCACTTAAATGACATACCCAATATACACATAATTGTTAGAATGTTCTTGACTGACATGCAAAATCTGTATTTTTTGGGCTCTGCTCTTTCTAGAGCCATCATGGTTACCTCAGTTACTGCCTGAAGTTGTGAGAGATGCTAAGTTGACTCAGCAGAGGTGCACACTTCTAAAATCCAGGACTTTGTCCTCTACACAAAGGCTAGTCGGACTTCCAGTGTTGGGTAGCAGGAGAGCTAGCCAAACAATGGCTGTCTTCTCCATCTCGGGGGCAATTAAGAAGCTTTCTGGACCTTGGTTTTTTTTTTGTTTTTGTTTTTAACCGATTTCAGGACATGTTACAAGTGCCATGCCATGGAAGCAAGCTCACACAGCTAAGGCTAGAAGGCCAATTTCCATTCCTTTACATACAGACAATTGCAAGGCTCAGCTTTTTAATGAGGTGGAGTTTGAAACGCAAAGGAATCGGTATCAGACTACACTCAGAGGCGGAAGCCAACATGCTGCAGAAGGACAGTAGGAGGAGGAGAGAGAGCCAGCCCACCCCAGGACCAACAGAAACCATGGGAAAAGTACTTACAACAGAAAACAGAGAAATTTCACTTGTTCAGTAGTCCTGATGCACCAAAAATAAAAAATAAAAAAACAGACAGGAAAGAGAGACAGACAGATGGAGAAAAAAAATCATGTAAAAAGACTGGGATATTCTCTCTCGCTTGGTAGATGCAAAAGAATGCAATTCTCTCTGTGATGTCTGGTGTAGATAAAGGATGCCCAAATTCATGGATGTTAGTTACCACCGGATAATGAATGATTATCACAAACCTCAACTCTACAGAAACAAAGTTAGGTGCTGCTTAGATGAGTTAGAAAAATCAGGATATCCACTCTAAAACTGAGTCTAGTAAAGGTATGAAATCTATCCTGATAGCTTTGTAGCAATAAAGTGAACTTCCAAATGACCACTTGTATCCGAATGCATAGAACACTGTTATAGTGATATATTATCTCACTGGATCCTTGTGACAACACTGAGGTAGGTGCTATTACCACCCCCATTTTACAGATGAGTAAACTGATACAGAGGTTAAGTGACTTGCTCAGATTCACACAGCTACTATTAAGTATCTGAGGCTGTATTTGAACTCAGCTCTTCCTGGTACCTTGTACCTGGAAACTCAGCTCTGCACTATCGTATCACCTAGCTGCCGCTAACCCTCAGGACCCTCAATAGAATCACTCTAGTCCAAGTTTACACTTGAACCTAAATAACAGAAAGACAAAACATAAATATAAAACATAAAAATTTCATCTAGCTTATCAAACATCACAGGGCAAATGGTCAGAATCTAAGTCAGATGACTCATTATTTCTCTGCTGCTTCTTTGGTTTACAAAGACCACAACCCTGTGAGGTATGCGGAAGTATGTGAAAACATAAATATTATTGGGTCTCTGTCCTTGTATGGATGAACAACACTGAGGCTTTGAGAGGTTAAGTCATCCATCCACTGTCACACAGATTTTAATTATCTGAACCAGGACAACCAACGTACTGTTGACTGTCTCTCTAGCAGACTATACTAAGTAGGTACAAATGATCCAGATTTAGTCACTACTCAGTATACAGAGGAAGGTCTCCTCAACCAGAAATCTCCACGATTATCCACAGATCATGACACTCTCTCTTCAGAACGTGCCGGAATCTACTTAATAGGATAAATTACTAAGAAATGACTAAGTGTCCTGGATGTGAGAACCATCCCTTAGGAGAGCTGATCAAGAGGTATATTCATCAAAAAGAGCCATGGGAGATCCAAATCTACTGATTGGAAGAAAATGGTGGCTAGTACTTATCACCACATGAAAAGTGCATCCTGACTTCCTCAGGAAGAAGTACATGGGAAAAATTCGTGAAAATTTCTCTCCTGTTGGCACAGATGTCTTCTGACTGACCACTATTGATAAGACTTATTAACCATTCCCCTGCCATTTATCCTGGGGTCTGGGCCCAATTAACAAGAAATAGTACTAATAGTATATATATGTACACATGTATACATTATATGTATGCATGTGTATCTATATATATTTTTCCTTTTGGTCCAGATCTATGATTTCATTAGTCTGGAGGAACTCCCAGTATAGAAACTCCTCCCACCAATGGAGAACAACTACTCAGTAACTTCTAGTATTCTCCAATACTAGACTGTCCAATACTAAGCTGTCTAGTGCCTGAAAAAGGTTAAGTGACAGGCCCAAGGTCACACAGCAAGTATATGTCAGAGGCATTACAGAAACCCAGGTGTCCTCAGTAACTGAGAGTCAGAAAGCACTACATGGCTTCCTTTAGTCACTGAAAGGACCTTGCTAAAAAAGTTAGTATAATAATTATTATCGCCATAGTACAGAATTAGAATTCAGAGAAAAGAACTTGCCCAATAATCATAAAACTAATAAATGTCAGTCAAGATGGAACTAAGGTCATCTATCTTCCAAAGTCCACTGAAATTTCTATTACACCACCCAATGGAAATAGCATGACAAAAGAATCAAAGAAACTGGGCATAGACATTTAGCCCACTAAACCCAAAGTCAGGGCATTTGGCTACTTCACTGAAGACAGAGTGATTCCTTGATATTGCCCCACCCTTCTGTCGTCTCCAAAGTTCTGGAAGCCTACAGAAATATGGGAGTTAGAAGAAACCTTACAGCCCATCTAAATCTAACCCCCTCGTTTTACAAATAAAGAAACTTTGGCCCATACAGGTGAAATGATTTGGTCATACAGCACATCTGTGACAGAACCAGGATGGCTTTGACTTCTAGCATAAGCCTTCCTACCACCCAGTTTTCCCTATTCAATTTCTCATCAAGACACACCAATGTGAAGTGACTCCTCGCTTGATTTCTAATTCTGTCATCCACTTTCTATTTCTTGATTCAAGGGTCCAGCACACTGCCTCTGAAAAACAGGGCTAAGGCACAAAGTGTTGAATTGTTAACTGTTGGGTTTGGACAAAAGATATGGCCTAGGATTACATATTCAAAGACTAATAATTCAAAAGAATACTTGGAAAGACCGCCCAAGATTCAGTAGGCAGAAAAGAAATCTAATAGACAAGCAAATGATTTATGGCAAATCTTCCTGAGCTAGATTTAGCTGATCCATTTTCTGAACTGTTGCCTTGCAATCACTTACAAAAATTACACATTAAGGAAGACCCCTGTGCTAACACTTTTAGGCAGCATTCTACGTAGGGCTAGCACAGTGCTACTATTCTAATGCTAGATATTAAGCCAAGTGACCCTTGATGGATGACCCAGGGTTTCAGTGGCTCACCATGAGTGTTGCTTCTTAGTCTCTTTTTAACAGAATAAAATGCAGGAGATAAAAAAGTTCATGTAGAACTATTGCCTGTTCAGAAAAAAAACTCTTTTAAGTTACAAAAATGCCTCTGGTGACTCTCGTCCTCTCATAGCTAATCTGAGGTTAGGCAAAGTGGTGAAGACTCTAGGCTAAAGCTCCAAGCATCCATGTCTGTCCCTTCTGTACCTCACTCAAGTTAAACAGGCACCGAAAGTCATGGGTGGCTGCCAGGCCCCACAAACAGTGAAAAACAGAGCTACCCGAGCATCCACCCTCACTCACGTTATCAAACGCGACTTTGCCTTCTTGGGGGAACCTGTCCCTTTCTTCATCTCCTCACCCTGTACTTCATATAGCTGAGACTCTAAGATTTCAATAGCTTCATTACCATCTGAGGAGCAAAAGTTAGTGGGCCCACGGTTGCTTAGGGTCTTCAGAGGCTTAAAGGGATCCATACAGTCATCAAAGTTATCTGGGTCAAAGTGATACGACCCTTTTGGGAGGGGTGGGGAGTTCTGCAAAGTGGAGCTGCCCCCAAAGGGGTTAAAGTTGCAGTCGTCCCCCTGATTGGGCTCTACTTTAGAGGAGGCTTTTTGAAGGGGAATTTCTTCATCTGCTAGGCCTGAAGGCTTTTCCAAGCCTTTGGCAACGCTTGGTTTGCTGACTCCATCTTTCTGTGCCCTGAGAGCCAACTTGCTAACCATCTTCCGGCCTCCAGGCGCAGGTTTCCTAGGGAGGCTTTTCTTGACTCCTGTGCTCTCTGTGCCATCTGAGAAATCGAATTCCAGTTTCAAAGGTGAGCCCCTGGATTCCTCCAGCAGCTCTACCCCTGAATCACTGGCATCTCCATTGGAAGAACTTAAGGTCTGCTTCACTGCAGGAGGAGAATTGGGGATCTTGGAACCTCCTATCATGAAAGGATTGGTGCTTTCATCAAGCTCATCTGGATTGAACTGATAGGATGCTTTGGGGATAGGGTGGTCCTCCACAACACTAGTGGTTTCTGAGAATTCTCCTCCAGTTGTTCTCATCCTTAGAGAGACTGGTTTGGGTTTCCTAAGCTTGCTTCTGTTAGACACAGAATCTGCAGGCAAGGTTTTGGCCTTTGACTCGGCGTCATTGGAAGCCTCAAGAGTCAGTCCCATGTTGTCTTCTGTCATTGAGTTTTCTCGTAGGGCTGCTGAAACATCTGAGGACAAATCCTGATCAGAAGTTGCTGTAGGGATATCCCCAGGCTTCTTAGCATCCAACAGCAATGGCGTCACTGACGAAACTTGGCCAATTTCAAGATCAGCTTCCGTGTTAGCATTCTTATCTGCCAGAGGGGCCAGGAGGTGTAGTGGTGCCTCATTGTTGGATGATTCGGGACATGCCTCGTGCAAATGCTTTTCAGACACTTCTGCTACCAGCTGTTCATCGAATTCCTGCAGTCCTAAAACAAAATACAAAAATCAGCGTGTTAAATGTACACGAGCTCTCTGATACCAGCAGAGGTTTTAATATCATCTAAATGTCACATATAAAGAGCCAGGCTCCACCTCCCCACTCTTTTCCTTCAGAAAGCAATGTCTGGAACATTCCTATGTGGTAAATGTTGTTATGGAGGTTGTCATATGCCATCCTGAATATGGATCGCAGGGTTATAGACAGAGCTGGAAAGGACTTTGGAACGTAACCTAGTCCTACCTACTCCTTTTGCACAGGAGGCCCATCAAGCCAAACCTTTGTCTAAGGCACAGCCTGGAGTGGCTCTAGAATGAATTTGTACCAAGGATGACAGTGAGCATGTGATGATGCCTAAACTATATGAATAGTAAGAAAATGTATTGAAAGCACACTGAAGAGTTCAACAGTAGAGACCATCAAGCATAATGTGAACATTTCCTCCAGTCCTAAAAGTCCTTTAAAAATCATTCTTTCCTCTCTTCAAGAAGCCAAAGGCACATAACTGTCAAAGACAGTTTGCAGGAGCTGCTCAAGAATTTTAGGGTCATCAATTTTTGTCCAAGCAGATTTGGAGTAAAGGATGTTAAAAAACACCAGCATTACATGCTCTACCTATTTTCTCATCCCACATTCTACATGTCAGCCCTGATATAATGGGAGCTTCAAAAATGGAAAAGTATACTGACTTCCCTTTCCAATCTAAACATCCCAGCAAATTTTAGGATATAGATCAAAATGATGTTGGGGGCTGGGAGGGGAGCAAGTGCCAATAACAATGGCACAAACAAGAAATATCGATCTCTATTTCAGTATACCTTTTTCTACTTTTATTTTAGGACATCTTCTCTGAACCAGGTCAGGGTAACAGGGTTATATGTACCCTTACTTTTTTGGTAACAATTTACATAAAAGTCAAATCTCTTTTTTGCTAGGCCTTTATTGGGGCAATGTTGCATATTCTGATACAGTATCAACTAAAGGAAATTAAACAGTTACTATAACTAGTACAACAGTTTTCTCTTTGAGAGCAGTAATGACAAGGGAGCAGAGTGTATACCATGGCTGGGTAAAGAGGTCAGTCACATTGTGAACTTAGCTTGTGAGGTGTGTTGTGAATCTGCAAAACAATGCATAAATGAAAGCTTCTCTTATCTAGGAAACTCACGCTTTCAATCTGAGAGAAGGCCTCCACTCCAAATTCCAGTACCTCTTGTGGTCCCAAAAGAAGTTTAAATTCTTCCAACCACACATACTATCCCTGAAACTGCCTCCTTCCCAAATACTCTATCCTAATAAGTATTAAGAAAGTAACGTAGAATTCATTAAACCAGGGTGGAAGAGGAAAGTGGTCAAGTTTCCATTGTCCTGACCAACCTAGATCCCTGGCCCTGCAAGGTCTGGTCCCCACTGCTGGAGTCATTTGACTGGGAGACCTACCTGGAGTTGGAAGCCAGTTCCCATGCAGGATAAATGCGGATACAAGAATTCGTTGTTTAGCTAAGTCAGCATAAAGTTAACCTCACTATGAGGATCCTTTTGTGACTGTCACAGAATCACTGACTCTTAGCTGGAAGGTGTCTCACCCTAGTTTCAGTTATTGGGATCCTGCCTCGCTGCTTACAACTATTTGACTAGACCCAAAGAAGTCATTCGTGGTTCAATATCAATTAGAAAGCATGTCTCTTTAGTGGAGTACCCTAGGAACCTGTTCTTAGTTCTGTGCTGTTTTAACGTTTTTTTAAATTAATGACTTGGATTAAAGGCATTTTTACATCATTATAAAATGTGTAGAGGATACAAAGCTGGGAGGGAATGATAACATAATAGATGACAGAATCTAAAACAATCTACAGGTCAAAATGTTGATTTAAATATCTGATGGAATTTATTAGACTTAAATGTATGCTTTAAATATGGGACACTAGGACATTATGGTACCATTAAAAGAAAACGGGAAGATTCTCCAACTGATAAATACTCAAAGGATATGATTAGGCAGGAAGAAATCCAACCTATCAATAGTCATATGAAAATCCTTAACAGAGAAATGCAAATTAAAACATCTTTGACATTCCACTTTGCACCCACCAGACTGACAAAGCTGCCCCAAAAAAGAGACAATGACAAACATGGGAGGGAAAACAGGGATGCCAATGCACTGTACTGTTGATGGTCCAGCCACTCTGGAAAACAATTTGGAACTATGCCTGTATAGTGACCAAATTGTTAGTACCTTTTAGTCCAGTGCTACCATTAGTAGAATCATATCCCAAAGGGATCAAAGCAAGAGGGAGGACCACATGTATAGCAGCTTTTTGTGATGACAAAGGAACTGAGGTGTCCATCAACTGAGGGATGGCTGTACAAATTATGGTATGAGAATATACTGGAATACTTTTGTGCTATAAGAAATCATAAAAGGGGGAGACTCAGAGAATTTGCGAAGACTTCTATGAATTGATCAGAGTGAAATGAAGAGAACCAGAACAATTTATTCCATAACACTGTAAATTCAAACAACTTTGAAAGACCCAATAACACAACACAATGACTAGTGACGATTCCATGGTATTTGATGAAGCAAATTACCTGCAAAGAGAGGTGACGGACTCAGGGTTTAGATTGAGACACATGGTGTTTGGACATGGCCAATTTGGGAATTTACTTTATCTGATTATGTATATATTTGTTACAAGGGTTTTGTTTTCCCTTTTTCCCAACTTGGGTTTGGGAAAAGGGGAGAGAAAATAGATTTTTATTCACTGAAAAAAAAAAAAAGAAAAAAGAAGCAAGAAGTCTGGAAGAATACATTTGGGGTAAAAGATGATTTCTGTTTTTAACATGTTAAATTGGAGGGCATCCAGGTGGAAAATGTTCAATCAGCAGTTAAGAGATGCTGAGCCTGGAGCTCCTGAGAGAGGTCAGTACAAGTCAGTACAATTAAAAGTCATAGGAATACACAAAACGAATGCACTAATAATGGCTCTGGATTTCCAAAGATTATGAGCACTCAAACAGAGGAAATATGGTACATGGGATAGATGGATGGTCTTGGGAGTCAGGAAGGCCTGGGTTTAAGGCCTGCCTTTGACACTAGCATTGTGAATCTGTCAGTCCACTAACATCCTAGTGCCCCAGATAACACTAAATATGAGTTCCTGAGATTCTCCCCACATTAATTTTTTTTATTTGTATGGAACCATAGATCAGCAACAAAAAATAAATAAAAATGTTCTGATGCTGTCTCGGACCTTCTTCTATACAGATCATAAACAGGTGGTTGAGGGCATGGGGGCCAATGTGTTTAAACAACTATCCCATTTAATTTGATCTGGCATTTTAATTGTTAAAAGTATCTCCTGTGACTAAACTTCACTTGCAGTACTATTGAAATTCAAGGCCCATAAAGCTAGGAAGGAAGAATGAAAATTTAGATGTGAGCCAGGAAGTTCAAAACTTTTAGAAAACACATTTGCTTTAGGAGGTAGAGAGGGGAAATATGGGTGTTTTTGTTTGTTTGAATGCCATTTGTGAAAACTGGTGGAGATTCTGGGCAGAGAATATGATAACAACAGCAACTTCTCTGAAGCACAGTATTTAAGTCTGTCAGAAAATAGCTTTTCCTTCAGTTAGGTTAACTGGGCCTCATTTGGGCCCCAATGCTTCCTTACTTCCTTTATCCAGAAATGGCAAAAACTCCCTAAAACTTGCTTGTTTCTCTAACCAAACATCCATCATAACACTTAGCTGTTTTTTGTTAGTCTTGTATCTAGTTTGAAAGTTAATTATCCAAATACAGAAGTAAAAAGTTCTTGAGTTTGAAGTTGACTGCAACCTCCATAATAAGAGTTCACATTCCCACAGCACTTAAAGTGCTTATAAATAGCACTTTGTTCACAACAATCCTCTGATTATCATCCAGTTATTGTTATCACCATCTTACAGGTAAGAAAAATTGAGTTTCAGACACAGGAAGTGAATTGCTGAGGGTTATACAGCTGAAAAGTGTCACAGCTAGGATTTAAGATGAACCAGCAATTCAACTCAGTGGCCAAAAAGTTAATGCACTCTTAAACCACATAAAAAGAATTAGCATCTGGGTAATTATGACAAGCAAACTTGGCCCTGAAAAAGATATAAGAAAACACATCGGGAACACTGAATATTTGTTGGACTTGAATGAACTGTTTTTTGGTTTGTTTGGGTTTTTTTGTTTTGTTTTGTTTTATGAAATGGCTCTCTGGATGGGAGAGGAAGAAATATAATAGTAAATTTTGTGCTGTAAAAATCCAAGTCATCAATAATTTCTTTTTTTAATGAGAAAAGGAGAATTGGTATGCAGAAGGGAAGTAATCATACTCTGCTGGCTACACTATAACACTGCTGGAATACTGGGTTCAGTCCTGGGCATCTCATTTCAAAAAGGCAAGTGAAACTGGCACATGTCCAGAGAAAGACAACCAAGAGGGCCAAGAGTCTGAAAACATGTCACATGAACAATGGCTGAACGGTTTAGTGATGGTTTAATCTGGTTTGGTTTTTTTTTTGTTTGTTTGTTTTTGGTGAGGGCAATTGGGGTTAAGTGACTTGTCCAGAGTCACACAGCTAGTGAGTTTATTTGTCTGAGGCCAGATTTGAACTCAGGTCCTCCTGACCCCAGGGCTAGTGCTCTATCCACTGTGCCACCTAGCTCGAGCAGGTTTACTTGGGGCCATGACACTTCAGATGCTATAATTTGGAAGATGACTGAGTCTGAGGGCAGAGCAAGGACCAGTGGGTAGAGATCACAAGGAGATAGATTTCAGTTCTGGGTTGCAGAAAAACAGAATGGGCTGCTTTGGGGGTGCTGTGAGCTATTTGTCAATGGAAGTGTTCAAACACAAACTTACGAACCAGCTGTTAGGGATGTTGTAGGAGAAGAGTCTGACGTGAGGGGAGGAGGTCTTCATGCTGATTTGAGGTTTTCTTGGCAAAGATCCTGGAGTG